CAATCTGTGGTTGCCAACCTAAATTTCTAATGCAACCTCCAATTACCTCGACGACACATTACAAAATCGAATACTCATGAGGGTGTCAACAGCTGACTTAACCCAGTCGTGGTCAACGTGGTGGTCGTAGTAGTGATGAATATGGTGATGATGGTGGTGATGGTGATTCTCGATGTACTGGTGGTCGAAGTGGTCGTAGTGGTGAACGTTGTCTTGTTGGTGCCTGTGATTGTGGTGGTCATGTTGGCGGTGGCCGACGTTGTGATGGTGGTGTGTGCGGAATAGTTGGTGGTGGTGCCGGTCGAGGTGATGTTTGTCATGTCGGAGGTGATCATAATTTGGCGTTGCTCTTGGTGGTTGAGGGGATAGTCTAGGTTTAGGTAATGGTCATCGCGTTATTGTAATGGTGATGATAGTGATGATTGTCATATTGATGTTTGAGTTTGTGGTGGTCATCTTATTGGCGGTCGTGTTGGTGGTCGTCGTGATAATAGATTTGTGGTGCAGGTTTCCATAATGATGGACGTCGAGATGTTAATTGCGGTGTTGATTGTAGTGGTCCTACAAATCGTTGTAATGAATATCGTGGATTAGTACGTGGTAGTGATCGTTGTGTTGGCGGTGGCGGTGGTGCTGGTGGTGATGCTGGTATTGCTATTGGTGTTGTGAGTTGTGATCGTGATTGTAGTGCTGGTAGTATTTCTGGAGATGGTAGTGGTGATCGTCGTTGTCGTGGATGCCATTGTGGTAGAAACGTGGTAGTGATGTTCGTGGTCTTAGTGGTCGTGCTGTTTATTGTAGTTGTGGTTTCTAGTCGTAATAATGAAGGTCATGATCGTTTCATGTTTATGGTCGTAGCGGCTATGTTAGTGGTGTTAGTCATCATCATGGTGGTGGGTGTCGTGACAGTTGTTATCGTAGTTATCATGGTGTTCGTGTTAGTGTTGTTAGTGATAGTTTTGGTCGTGCTAATAGTCGTGTGGTAATCGTAGTGGTTTGGTGGTTGTGCCGGTGGACGTAGTGGTAATGGTCATGGTAAATGAGGTGATGGTGATAGAAACGGTCGTGGTAGTCGTGGTGTTGATATTAGTATTAGTGCTGTTGATCGTGGTTTTGTTGGTGTTGGAGGCACTAGACGTGGCGGTCATGGTATTCGTGGATGCGGTGGTCGTAGTGGTCTTGGTCGTTATTTTCGACTTCGTTGTCGTCGTCGTGAGGGTTTTAGTTGTGATGGCGGTCGTGTCGTGGTCGTGATTGTGGAGGTACTCTTCACAGCGGGTGTGGGAACGTTGGTGTTTGTGAGTGTGGTGTTCGTGGACGTGGTGGCGTCGTGTTTGTCGTGGTGGTGTTGGTTTTTGTTAGCGGTCACGGTCGTGGTGCTGTTCTTGGTATTTTCGTGGTGGTGGTCGTGATAGTTACGGTCGTGTTGAAGGGGAACGATAAATCAAAGAACTATTTTAAAAAATCCCACCGTCATTATGTTCAAGGAGGGTAAAAAAAGAAAAGAAAAGAAAACCAAATTAAGTACACTTAAAATAGAGTGTGGTTTACATAATCACAAATTCATCCAACCATTTCAACAACAGCAATGTAAATGAAAGAAACAAACAGTGGAAACATATTCTTCTTCTACTACGAACCCTCACATAAACATATGTATTAAGCAAGTTTTATGACTTGGTCCATAATAAAATGTCGTATTCTGCCAAAATATAAACTTCCGAACAATCTGGCAAAATCAATGAATACACATCTCATAAGTTTATTTGGCGTTAGAAATTTGAACACTCCAACAAACAGACTCCAACGCACACTTGTTTTACAAGTGTTCATTTATTAAGAATGAAATAGTTTTACAGTTTGAAAGAACACGAAATATTGTGTTGGGAAGAAGAGGTGAAATATTTTTAAAATTAAAACCTTGGGGAGAGATTATTACCGAGGATGAGGAGAAGCTGCATCCTGAAAACAAATTATTTTAGGAAAATTCATTGCGGAAATTGTTTTCGAAAAATTCTTGGACAAATTGCTTTCGGAAAGTATTTGTTGAAAACATTAAATTCTTTTCAGAAAACATTAAAATTATTGAAAAAAATTTGTTTCGGAATATTCGTTGTGATGGTTAACTTTCTCTTTGCGCCAGAACTCTCTAAATATTTCCGGAGAATTCTTGAAAAAATTCTTGTTGGGAATTTCTTTGCGGTGGTTAATTTTAACGGTTGAGCCAGAATTCCTCGAAATATATCTACTTTCGCTTCAGTCACTCCTCACTCTCATCACATTCGCCCCTTTCTCTCTCTCCTCATTCCTTGTAATTCTACTAACACTTCATTAAATTCCACTCCGCCAAACACCATTTTAATCCGCTCAATTCAACTTTCTACTCCAGACTTCAATCCACTCATTTACAATTCATACATACTACAATCACGCTTCACTAAATTCCTGCCACTGCTGCACCCTAGAAGCACTCAACTGACACAAACACCTTTCTTATACTCCACCCCGGCATACAACCAACAGCACGCCACTCTATCCCACACCGTGTCAACATACTAATTCAGAATGCCAAGAAAAATCTAACATAACATGTAAAACCTGAAGCAAACGTAAGAATAAGTCAATGACGAAACAGCAAAGCACATGAAGAAATCTAAATCAAAGAGATATTACCGTCACGAGAGCAAATAAAAATAAAATCCTGAAAACTAAAAATGAAATAAGAGCATGAAACAAGATTGGGTAAATACAATAAACTTAATGGAGTTAAAAAAAGACATTTTAGGAACAAAATGAATACGGGCACTTCATTCAGACCGCATAAAATTGCAACTAAATCAGCGCTAAAGTTTGGCACCGAAACCTGAATTCTAAGAAAGGGTGACGAGGCGATTAGATTATTACCTCTTGAGATTACTGAGAGTATGACGATAGGTTATCCGAACAGATAAATTACAAAATTATCAATGAAGAACCGATTGAAGAACACAAATATTATAAATGACATACAAATGTTAAGTGGACAGGAGAAAACTTACATATAAACGAACACAAACGAGGGATTAAAGGAAGAACTAGAAGTCAGTGGAAAGGCAAGATTTATTTATTTAAACTCGGAACTGGCCCGATGGCACTCAATTCACGCTAAGGAAGAAGAAGGAAAAGAATCGAACCTCTTCAGCAAAATACGTCTAAAGATTTACACACGTCACTTCCAGCACTGAAGCACGTGACTGAAGGACTAGATCTTGACGCAGTGTTTACAACAAAGGTAGGAAATGCTCTTATGTACATCTTCCGGCCAAACGTACACAAATAATGTAAATGAAGAAATGGCGATTTATACTACCCGTCAAGCATTGATGAGACATAAAGCAACGAGACGTCTTCATTTGGGATAGTGTTCTAAGCTCTAAGGAAGTTAAAATCAAATCATAGTTACGTGAGATATCAGACTGAAAAACCCGATACTGGCAGAAACTGACAAATTTCCTTTGAATATATTTTAATTTATTAGTCTGTCAGTGAGGGATTATTTCATACGACCGAGACATGCTCTAGATGTGACGTGATTAAGGCATTATAAAGAACAGTAAAACTGTCTCTAGAGGATACATTATATGCAACAATACGAGGAAGCTCTAATGTCATAAGTGCCTGAGAATTCACGTAATATAGATGGATCACTCATGACGATAAGAATGCAATTTAATACACATAATAACACCTACGCCTTTATAGATTTAGTACGCAAAATTAACTAAGACCAAAATAATTAGAGTCAAGCTGCTCCTCTTAATTGAACGTCTGTCTGTTCACATATTAATATCAAAAACAACAACAATAATAACACCACCAAGAATGCGAGTATTGAACTATAGTGTGTCGAAATGAGAGGAGAAATCAAACATCCTGCTTGTAATGTAAGGGGCCCCACCCCGCCCCAATCTGTGGTTGCCAACCCAAATTTCTAATGCAACCTCCAATTAAGTCGATGGTTCATTACAAAACGGAATATTCATGAGAGCGTAAACAACTGACTTAGCCACTGGGCCAGTCCCATCGTAAGGACGGAATAAAATCTTAAGTAACTTATTTTGAAACAGCCATCCGTCCTCATCCTTCCCGATTCATTATTCATATCACCCACTCATTCGACGATATATAGTCTGAGGTACCGAGAATGATAATATCTATCATCATCATCATCAGTCCGTCTTTCCATTTTGAAAGTTGGTGACCCATCATTAAACACGTTCCAGAATCTATATTAACTGCGGGAAATCTTGAAGTAGTTTCCCGATGCATTCCTCAAAGTTTGTTTTAGGCCGCCCCTAACGTGGGTAGCAGACGCCATATGATGGATTTAAGAGGCATATCATCCACTGACGGGACCATCACCCCACCTAAAGGGGCTCCTCCGACCGAAGCCGTGGGCCCCCTTAGAAAGACTGGTTATTTACCGCCGCCCGACACTCGGCGTCGAGTTGCTGGCTGTACGGTCTACTCGGTTACCGTATCAGGCTGACCCGGCCAGACAATAGATTATATCTCTAAGTTTAGTTTAATTTGTCATCACATACGCAGAAACCTCAATTCCCTCTCGCGTTCAAGAGGGCAACTTAAGTAGAAGAGGAATTGTTGTGTTTAACTCAAATAATAATTTCACTTCCAGTATCCTTCGACCACATTACGTCTGGTAACACTGCATGCCATTCTAAGAAACGTGTTGTATCGAAAACTTTACAATCTGCAGTTGCACAGCCACGGGCGCCTCGGACAATAGCTTGGGCTGCTTACGTCTGTGGCATCAGATATGGCACCTTCAAGGCTCTTCTATATTTCCAAGAATGGCGTGAAGCCGACTGGAAAATCTACAGGAGACACACCACATTCTGAATATATGTAAGAATTTCAAATTGATCAAGAAATTATACGTTACTTTCCTTATGAATTTCTGTACATATTTCGATGAATCCTAGGGTGATAAGGTCCAGAATGCGGTACGTGATTCTAAGTCACGTTCATCTGTAGGTTTTATAGGCAATTGAATTGAAAACCCAAGCAACTTAATCACAGCCATAATGAGGTGACTGTAGAAGTCATGTGAAATCATTAGATGACACTGATAAGCCTATTTACGTATTATTAAGTTGTTCTTTTCTCATCTGTGAAGACTAATTACGCAGACTTTTAAGGTTCCGGCATCGGTGTCATTAAGTGTAGAATAATACCTCAAAACATTTCATCTTCAAAGAATTCCAGACCTCAGGCCAGTCGCGTAATGATTGGGGCACCACCAAGCCAACCAAAATTTGGACAGAACCCCAAATTCAGAGCTTGATGAAACTGTTAGTGACATCGATCGAAAATCCTTGGCTCATCATCAGAATGTGAAGCTTAGTAGCCACCAGCAACAAGAGAGGCGAATATGCGGTAGAATATAGTGGCCCAAAACATCGAAATCCGCGTAAAAACACAAAATTATAAATAATATAACTTAAGTCACCCCGCGTCTCGTCTTTCGTATTCGACGGAGTAATGTATCAGATGTTGCGTGTTGAGACATTCTGTCCAGTAATGATTGAAACCCACACTGCTACGACTCCGCATATCAGAAGCATGTAATTTGGTCTGTCGTGCAGCAGTCGCGATGACTGGATCTGTTATGCAATGTTAAAAGGAAAATTGTGATATCTGTCGTGCCACAAGTCTTCTAAGAGCTGCCGGTATCAAGTACTTTCTTTGTGTTCAAGGCGTTGCAATATTTTTGGAGAAAAAAGATTGGGTAAATCTGAAGAGCTACTACACACACGCACACTTATATACACTTATATACACGTGTATATATATATATATATACTGTGACAACATACACAATTTTTGTCAAATGCGATAAGGGAACATCGATCTCAATGCAAATATTGCTCATACCTCCTCTGTTCGAAAGCATAGGAAATCGATATAAATTACTTGTGACTCTCTCCTCACCTTCATTTTGCGTGAGATGTTGTTTCGTAGCTCTACAACCCTGTTGTTCGTTTTCGCCGCTTCCTTTTCGGAGGTTTCTTGGTCTTGAAGTATGCATTTTTGAGTGGTGAGTGACCAGCCCACTGCCTCTGCACAATTTATACTCAATCCTGATTTCACTGCCAGAGCCATCTATGGCAAAGAAAATTACGTCTCACATTTAACACAGGATTCGGTCAAGGAGTGCAAAGAAAGTGCAGAACACAAATCCTTTGAAAACCGTTACGTTTCTTCAAAAATATTTCCAGAATTAGTTCTCACAATCCCGTACCAAATTACACCTGATTTAAGAAGCGATTGTGGCAAAATCCGCAACTTCAGAAACAAAATTTAATTACCGAATAAATGGAATACAGAATGGTGTGAATTTTTTGGTAATACCACAACCAACGCGGAAAACTGAAATGCTTCTTCAGGCATAATAAACGTGTTTCTTCGAATCCCACAGTTACAGATAAACAGGACACGGTGAGTGTCTTGAAATTTTGTTGATTCGTACGGATTCATAAATAACGGATGAACGTACCAATGCCACGTCTAAATGTGAGACAAGAAAGGAAGACATTGAGGAATCAATGCCAATACGGCTGACAGCGATTTTTTAAAAAAATTAAAATTATTAAGTCATACTTGACTGATCTGTGACAAGAGCACGGCACAACTAGATGCAAAATATAATAACTTATCAAGCACAACTCCAATTTACTTGTGGCTAACAGGTGGGAGCAAAATATTTTTAACATCTTCCAACGTGCTGCAAAGTAAGCATAAACCTGATTATCTGCAGGAGCAAAGGATGTACATGGGATGATAATCTCAGGCGGGATCTATGGGAGATAGGAGTTGAAGGAACCTGGATTTTGTTGGCCCAGTACAGGGTCCAGTTTAGGGCTTTGGTTAATTCGGTGATGAACTTTCGGGTTCGGTATGCCATCTAGTTAGTTAGTTAGCAAAGGATATATGCCCAAGGTCTGAAACTTGATAAGAAATCTGGCAGAGGTTTCTTTACTCCTACTTGTTTCGCAAGAACGCCTTTCCCCAAACAGCATCTGTGATGAGAACTTCAACCTCAACCTGGATCAACGAATATACTAAACGGATTTAAATTCATGCTAATAGACCTCAAAATATACAATTAGTTCTTCCACACCAATATTCAGGTCGGAGCTGAGACTCGGCAGCTGATGTTAATGTCACGAAAAAACGATACTAAAAACGTCACCAAAAACCCACATTCAGATTATGCAAAGAAGAGCCCTCTCTGTATAAATACATGCACGCTTTACACAAATGTCGATAAATTGAACGTCATCTAGCTTCTGAAGTTACTTCGATAAAATAAATTAGTATTAACCTGACAGAAGAATACTGGGATACTGGGAACGACAACTTATCGTTGGCTTCATTCACAGACATTCGGTACACCTTGGACGAGGGATCGGCCCGCCGCAAGGCCTCTATCTGTACAAAGGACTGCACAACACAGAAAGCCGCCGACAAACATGCATAGCTTGAACGGGATTCGAACCCACGGTCCCAGCGACTAAGCGACACAAGGCAAACGCCTCAGACCGCGCGGTCCCTGCGGACCCGACAGAAGAATAGAATGCAGAATCTGGGTAGAACTGTCGTTCTTCCCACCGTCTTTATAGGTGAATGCGAGAATTCAACTGTAGTGTGTCGATATGAGAGGAGAAATCAAACATCTTGCTCGTAATGATTGGGGCCACACCCCGCTCCAATCTGTGGTTGCCAACCCAAATTTCTAATGCAACCTCCAATTAACTCGATGGCTCATTACAAAACGGAATATTCATGAGAGCGTAAACAACTGACTTAGCCACTGGGCCACTCCCATCGTAAGGACGGAATAAAATCTTCAGTAACTTATTTTGAAACAGCCATCTGTCCTCATCCTTTCCGATTCATTATCCACATCACCCAATCATTCGACGAAATATAGTCTGGGGTAACGAAAATGATAATATCTGTCATCATCATCATCATCAGTCCGTCTTTCCATTTTGAAAGTTGGTGACACATCAATAGACACGTTCCACAATCAGTAATAACTGCGGGAAATCCATGATGGGTTTTCTTCGGAAAGAAAATCTTGAGCTATTTTCCGTTGTTTTCCTCAAAATTTGTTTAAGGCCGCTCCTAAAGTGGGGAGGAGACGGTTTTTGCAGCAGCCGCTAACCTAGAGAAAAGAGGCTATATGATGGATATCAGTGACATTACCTCCACTTACGGGACCATCACCCCAACTAAAGGAGCTCCTCCGACCGAAGCCGTGGGCCCCCTTAGGGAGTCTGGTTATTTCCCGCCGCCAGACACTCTCGAGTTGCTGACTGTACGGTCTACTCGGTTACCATAGCAGGGTGACCCGGCCTGACAATAGATTATATCTCTAAGTTTAGTTTAATTTGTTATCACATAAGCAGAAACATAACTTAACGGGATTCATATATTTAAAAATCTTACGAACTTCCAATAATTCACATAAATTCAAATTTTTTGAGAAATTTAAATTAATTTATATTTTTAATACTGTAATATCACAAAAACTGTATTACTGAATGTTGTACATACCTGAACTTAGATATTACCAATATTTAAGCATCAAATACGTCTAAAATATTTTCTATAAAACTTCACGTATTGTAGTAGTCATCTTTCTTCATATTCACAACATAGGGATGATTCATGAAAGCATTTCCAATACTGCAAACACTCGTCAATTAAACAGCCACTATACTGAATTAGATTAATGAACAAATCAAAGATGGAAAAAGAACAGAAAACCTAAATTTTTGCGATGTTCTGCATATTATTATTATTTATTTGACTGCAAATGGGTTTTTATCCGGTGCCAGTGGCCCTACAATCAGACACAAAACAATAAGACACAACAGAACAATAAGACACAGCAGAACAATAAGACAGAACAAAACAATAAGACACAAAAAATCAGTAAGACAAAAAACATAAGACACAACAAAAACAACAAGACACAACAAAACAATGAGACACAACAAAACAATAAGCCAGAACAAAACAATAAGACACAAAGAAAACATAAGGCACAACAAGAACAAAAATACACAACAAAACAACACACCAGACTCAAAATAAAACAACTCATATTATTATAAAAATATATAACCTAAAGAACATAACTGAAAAATTCAACTAGTAGTAACAGTAATGAATTACATACGTCATGAACTGATGCACTCACATTTCATCAGGACCTTCTCTACAGACAGCCACGGTGGTCTAGCGGTTAGAACGCTGGCCTTGTAATCCTGGGATCTCGGTTTCGATTCCCGGCGGTGCCCGAATCTATAACTTGTGTTGGGCAAGGCCGTGGTCTAGGCAACACCGAGTTTTTCTCCGGGGGCTTCCCCGGTTTCTCCGTGGCATCCCAACAATTATTCCATTCACACACAGAAGAAGGCAATGGCAAACCACTTCTGGATCATCTGCCAAGAACGTATATGAACAGGTCCCAGTCCGAGAAAAGGATGGAAGGACCCTGTTCATATGGACCTGTCGTCAGACAGAACACTAAATAATAATAATAACTTCTCTACACTTCACTACACTTATGATGCCTTCCCATCCTCACCCCAATTCAACCCCCTTCACTGCACCCACCCATGTATTCCTTATGCATTCACGTTTGTGATAAACAAATTTAACAATTTCTTGTGGTAATTCATAGATTCCAGCAATAACGGATCCTCCTTCCAGGTTGCAAAAAGTGGAAAATACGACTCCGATAGTTATCGACACTACTAATAAAAAGACATTAAATAAGACGGTGCGTAATTAGAAGAATTAATAATAAATAATCATTTGATATTGACGAAATTATATATGCAAGCCATGTGTGAGTCCAAAGTTGGGATGATTTCCTACCACAAGACAAAAGTACAATCCGAAACTAAGACAGCGACAACCGTGTAAAAATATTGTCAAATTCCAAGGAAAAATTTCTTCCACTCGTAATAAGTTTTAAAACTGCAAATGATTTGGGGATATCTGTTAAACTAGAAAGGGAATTTGATGTAAGCCGTAAAAATTTGCACACTTCAATCAGGATCAACGAATAGACTACACAGATTTAAATTCGTACTAATAGACCTCAAAACATACCATTAGTTCTTCCACACCAATATCCAGGTAGGAGCTGAGACTCGGCAGCTTATTTATTTATATATTTATTTATGTATTATTTACTGCAAATGGGTTTTTACCCGGTGGCACTATTCCTACAATAAGACACAAAAAAATAAGACAAAACAGAACAATGAGACACAACAAAATAATGAGACAGAAAATAAAATAAGACACAACAAAACAATGAGGCACAACAAAACAACACATCACGCTCAAAATAAAACACATAATAAGATTACAAAACAATATAACCTGAAGTACATAACTTAAAAATTAATACTAACTAGATATAAGACAGTAAAAGTAATGAATTACATATGTCATGAAATGATGCACTCACACAACAAACCAATGAGACATAAAAAAAAAACATAAGACACAACAAAAACAATAAGACCCAACAAAACAATGAGGCACAACAAAACAACATATCACGCTCAAAATAAAACATCTCATAAGATTAAAAAACAATATAACATGAAGTACATAACTTAGAAATTAATACTAACTAGACATAAGACAGTAACAGTAATGAATTACATACGTCATGAACTGATGCACTCACACAACAATACAATGACACCCAAAAACATCATAAGAACAACAAAAACAATGAGGCAAAACAAAACAATGAGGCACGACAAAACAACACATCACACTCAAAATAAAACATCACATAAGATTAAGAAAACATATAACCTAAAGTACATAACTTAAAAATTAATGCCAACTAGACATAAGACAGTAACAGTAATGAATTACATACGTCATGAACTGATGAACTCACACAATAAAACAGGGAGACACAAAAACAACAAAAACAACATAAGACACAAAACAACAAAAAGACACGACAAAATAATGAGGCACAACAAAACAACACATTACACTCAAAATAAAACATCACATAAGATTAAGAAAACATATAACCTAAAGTACACAACTTAGAAATTAATACCAACTAGACAAAAGACAGTAACAGTAACGAATAACATACGTCATGAACTGATTCAATCACACAACAATACAATGAGACAAAAAACAACAACATACGAACAACAAAAATAATGAGGCAAAACAAAACAATGAGACACGACAAAACAACACATCACACTCAAAATAAAACATCTCATAAGTTTAAAATAACATATAACCTAAAGTACATAACTTGAAAAATAATGAGGCAAAACAAAACAATGAGACACGACAAAACAACACATCACACTCAAAATAAAACATCTCATAAGTTTAAAATAACATATAACCTAAAGTACATAACTTGAAAAATAATGAGGCAAAACAAAACAATGAGACACGACAAAACAACACATCACACTCAAAATAAAACATCTCATAAGTTTAAAATAACATATAACCTAAAGTACATAACTTGAAAAATAATGAGGCAAAACAAAACAATGAGACACGACAAAACAACACATCACACTCAAAATAAAACATCTCATAAGTTTAAAATAACATATAACCTAAAGTACATAACTTGAAAAATAATGAGGCAAAACAAAACAATGAGACACGACAAAACAACACATCACACTCAAAATAAAACATCTCATAAGTTTAAAATAACATATAACCTAAAGTACATAACTTGAAAAATAATGAGGCAAAACAAAACAATGAGACACGACAAAACAACACATCACACTCAAAATAAAACATCTCATAAGTTTAAAATAACATATAACCTAAAGTACATAACTTGAAAAATAATGAGGCAAAACAAAACAATGAGACACGACAAAACAACACATCACACTCAAAATAAAACATCTCATAAGTTTAAAATAACATATAACCTAAAGTACATAACTTGAAAAATAATGAGGCAAAACAAAACAATGAGACACGACAAAACAACACATCACACTCAAAATAAAACATCTCATAAGTTTAAAATAACATATAACCTAAAGTACATAACTTGAAAAATAATGAGGCAAAACAAAACAATGAGACACGACAAAACAACACATCACACTCAAAATAAAACATCTCATAAGTTTAAAATAACATATAACCTAAAGTACATAACTTGAAAAATAATGAGGCAAAACAAAACAATGAGACACGACAAAACAACACATCACACTCAAAATAAAACATCTCATAAGTTTAAAATAACATATAACCTAAAGTACATAACTTGAAAAATAATGAGGCAAAACAAAACAATGAGACACGACAAAACAACACATCACACTCAAAATAAAACATCTCATAAGTTTAAAATAACATATAACCTAAAGTACATAACTTGAAAAATAATGAGGCAAAACAAAACAATGAGACACGACAAAACAACACATCACACTCAAAATAAAACATCTCATAAGTTTAAAATAACATATAACCTAAAGTACATAACTTGAAAAATAATGAGGCAAAACAAAACAATGAGACACGACAAAACAACACATCACACTCAAAATAAAACATCTCATAAGTTTAAAATAACATATAACCTAAAGTACATAACTTGAAAAATAATGAGGCAAAACAAAACAATGAGACACGACAAAACAACACATCACACTCAAAATAAAACATCTCATAAGTTTAAAATAACATATAACCTAAAGTACATAACTTGAAAAATAATGAGGCAAAACAAAACAATGAGACACGACAAAACAACACATCACACTCAAAATAAAACATCTCATAAGTTTAAAATAACATATAACCTAAAGTACATAACTTGAAAAATAATGAGGCAAAACAAAACAATGAGACACGACAAAACAACACATCACACTCAAAATAAAACATCTCATAAGTTTAAAATAACATATAACCTAAAGTACATAACTTGAAAAATAATGAGGCAAAACAAAACAATGAGACACGACAAAACAACACATCACACTCAAAATAAAACATCTCATAAGTTTAAAATAACATATAACCTAAAGTACATAACTTGAAAAATAATGAGGCAAAACAAAACAATGAGACACGACAAAACAACACATCACACTCAAAATAAAACATCTCATAAGTTTAAAATAACATATAACCTAAAGTACATAACTTGAAAATTAATGCCAACTAGACATAACTTAGTAAAAGTAATGAATTACATACGTCATGAACAATTGCAATCACACAGCAATACAATGAAACACAAAAAAACAGCAACTTAAGAACAACAAAAGCAATGAGACACAACAAAGCAATGAGGCACGACA